TTTTTTTTTTTTTGTGTTGTTCATCTTCAACCACAAATAATTTAAACTTTTAACAGTACTTATTTTCAAAATTGCTGCTTAATAGTAACAATAAAGTACGACAAAAAAAAAAAAAAAAAAAAAAAAAGATAGTTTATTCAAAACCGTTCAGAAAAAGAATAAAAAAAAAAGGCTTAAATAGCAGAAGGAAAAAATGTTTTTTTTTTTTTTTTTTTGATTTGTAAAATAAATTTATAAAAATAAAGTTGAGCACAAATTAAAGAAAACAGCAAAAATAGCGACCACTTTTTTTCTGTCGATGAAACATCTAAAATTGATCATTGAAGTCAAAATCAGCTATGTATATCTGAAAATCTCTGATTATTTTACAGCTTTTAAAAAGTGTCAAAAGCAATAGAAGCAAAAATTTTTTGCTCTTGTACAAATCTTTTTCATTACTTTTCCTATTTTCTTTCTTCCATAGCCCTTAGACAAACTTTTTGCTGATAAATTCAATTGAGGTTTACAGTTTATGTTAGAGAGGTGGAAGGGGGGCAGTAGGCGAAAGGGAGAAAGAATACAATTTGGCTAAGTGTTTTATTATTGATACATTTTTTCAGTTATATATTTATGTTCCATTATTAAGACATATTTGACAGCACTTAAGAATACTTGTACAAAAAATAAAAAGCAAAAAAAAAAAAAAAAAACCAATTTAAGAAAAAAAACCGACAGAGGAAGAGGAAATGAATCATACAAAAATTTTTTACAACATGATTTAGCTTTACTACATAATTTTCTTTGTTTACTACCAATCAGTAACAGTATTTTTTCTGTCAAATTTTTACCACTTAATTTATTTTTATTATTTTTTTTTAAATTGAAGTTTACTGTTCTTTTTTTCCCCTTGTTTTGTTTGCTAACTTTACTGAAGTGAAAAACATTACTTTAATAAATTTATTGTTTTTTTTCCCCTCTATAGGTACACCAGTCCCACCACCACATTTTGGCCTTTCACGACTGGACATGTACCCGGGTTCGGCACGAAGTGCTAATGCATCTCAGTCTGTAACACCGCTATCAACACATAAAAATCGTATACATCCAGTACATGGACATGTATTACGTAGTTTAACACCGCCGGATACACCTGCAGTTACTGCAAAAGTTGATGACTCTACTCAGGTAAAACAAAACAAAAAAAAAAAA